CAGTGAAACCAAGCTCGCTGAACAAGGTAAGTTGCATGAGGCAGGTGCTGCCTACACATTCTACTGGGTGGGCAACGCCGCCTCAGCACCACGTGAACATGGAGTCGGATTTGCCATATCCGATCACCTCCATGGCCAGCTCGTGGGTGAACCAACAGGCATCAGCGCGCGACTGATGACTTTTCGCCTACGACTCGGAAGAGGTAAGTTTGCCACCTTTATAAGCACGTACGGTCCGACCATATGTTATCCTGATGACACGCATGATCAATTCTACACTCAGCTATCCTCATTGATACGGTCTGTGCCGAGGAGCGACCGACTATTTCTGCTGGGTGATTTCAACGCGCGCATTGGGCGTGATGCATCGGTGTGGACAGATGTTATCGGTTCGCATGGCATTGGTTCAGCGAATGCGAACGGTGACAGGCTGCTCTCACTGTGCTCCACTCACGGCCTGACGATCACGAACACTCGGTTTGCACTGAGTGCGAGTGATATAGCAACTTGGACGCACCCACGGAGTGGTCATGCTCACCTGCTCGACTACCTCAGCGTGATGTGCGTGAAGTGCGTATGATACCTGTACTGCGTGCAGCTGAGTGTGGCACTGATCACAACTTGGTGCGGACCAAACTGTACATATATTTTCATAAATCTATGTATTGCACTCCCGCCGTGAATCGGCGTACATTTAATATTCCCTCCCTCTGTCATGTGGCGAAACGTATTGAGCTGGAGTACGCGATGGCTGCATGCCTGTGTGATGTGGACTGCATAGCCACAGTGGGCGGCCTGTGGCACCACATTCGCGACCAGGTGACAGCTGCTGCCGAGGAGACCATCGGGCGCGCAAACTGTAAGCGGCCTGATTGGTTTGATGAGAACAACGCGACGATTGGCGCATTGGTGTCGGAGAAGAATGCAGCATTTGCTGCACATGTGGCAGACCCCAGTGACTTGGGGAAGACGAGTCAATTTCGCAAACTTCGACGGCGACTGACCCGAGAGCTCCGTCACATAACAAATGCATGGTGGACGGAGAAGGCAATGCAGGTGGAATGCTACGCCGAACGCCACCAACTCAAGGAATTCTTTGACTCCTTGAAGGCGGTGTATGGACAAAAATTGGAGCTGCTGACGACGCTGATCGATGGTAGTTTCGGGCGCTACAGACTGCAGACATAATGCAGGTCTGGCAAAAAACACTTTGACTGTCTCTTGAACAGCCGTTCAGAGATCGACTGGCCTACATTAAACGACCTGAAACAGCACGATGTAAAGGCGAGTTTGGCGGATACGCCGACACTGGATGAGACGCAGAGAGCACTTGCTCAGCTGAGAAACGGCAAGTGTGCAGGGTCCGACGGCATCCTGTCTGAAGTATCGAAACACGGCGGACCTGCGTTGTTGACTGTGCTGCACCACTTGGTGCAACGCGTGTGGACTGAGGAGGGTGTGCCTCCTTCGCTGAAGGATGCCCTTGTGCTACCACTGTACAAGGACAAAGGTAGCAAGCAATGTTGCACGAATTATCCTGGCATCAACTTGCTGAGTTGTGTGGGCAAGGTGATTTCCCGAATCCTGCTCAACTTCCTCGTCAGTCACGTTGTGAAACCTAACGTGGCGGAAGAGCAGTGTGGATTCCGTTCGGGTCACAGCACTATAGATATAGTGTTTGCGGCTCGTCAGTTGCAGGAGAAGTGTAGAGAACGACACCAGCCGTTGTACTCGCTTTTTGTTGATTTCACCAAGACATTCGATACGGCTAACCGCGAGGCATTGTGGCTGGTGTTGGGTAAGTTTGGTTGCCCGCGTAAGTTTGTAAGTTTACTTGAATGTCTGCACAGTGGAATGTGGGCGAGGGTGCAGCTGAGTGGAGAGACCTCGGATGACTTTGCAGTTGTCTCTGGTGTGAAGCATGGCTGTGTTTTAGCTCCTGCACTGTTTAATATTTATCTTCATGATATGATGTTTTGTGCTCGTGAGGCGGCTTGTGCTTACGGTGTTCGTGTGGAGCACTGTATTGATGGTGGGTTGCTGAACATCCGTCTTTTCGGTGCGAGAACTTTAGTCTGTGAGACAACAATCCGTATGTTGCTGTTTAGTAACGACTGTGGGTTGTTTGCACGCAGCGCGGATGAGTTGCAACACATGGCTAGTACTCTGGCTTCGGCAGCGGCGAAATTCGGGCTCACCATCAACACAAGCAAAACTGTCTGTCTCTTTCAGCCTTCACTGGAGGTGCAATCTTCACTATTGCCACGAATCTGCCTTGCTGCTGAAGTATTGGAAACCATCTCCCGCTTCTGCCACCTTGAAAGTGGGATGTCGACTGACCAGCAGCTACACAGTGAGCTACGTATTCGCGTTTCGAAGGCAGCGGCGGCATTCGTGAAGCTAGAGTACCAAGTGTGAAATAACCATCAGCTTACCGTTGGCATGAAGCTGTTGGTGTACAAATCCATGTTGCTGTCCGTTCCATACGGCAGTGAAACGTAGACGATGTACCGGCGGAATGTGCGATGTCTCGAGCGGTTCCATCAACAGTGTTTGCGACGGATTCTGCGCATCGGATGGGGCGACAGAGTTGCGGAAACGGAAGTGTTGCGCCGAAGTGGAATGTGTGCAGTGGACTGCCTACTTTTGCTGAGACACCTGAGGTGGCTCAGTCATGTGAGCCGTACGGATTCGACGCGGATACCGAAACAACTATTGTATGGTCAGTTGAGTATTGGGAAGCGGCATGTTGGGAAACCCAAGTTACGTTACCAGAACATGATTAAAGTGAGCCTGGTGTTCGAATCTTGATTGCACGTCATTGAAATCGAAGGCGCTTGGTTGGCGTGCATGGATCGATCTGATCACGAAGGCAGTTGCCGAAGTGCGGGAAAAAGACCTCATACATGCAGAGAAGAAGCGGCAATTGCTTAACCGACCGGCGCCATTGGGTTGTACTTCATCGACATCGAGCGCATAGTGCTGTAGCACATGCGGTCGCGAGTGCCTGAGTCAAGCAGGCCTAGTGAGCCATGAGCGAGGCCACTCGGGACCACCACCGAAGTGACGATGGGTGCTGCAGAGAACATAGGCACAACCGGCGCAGCTTTTGTAGGTACGCTGTATTCGATTTACTAACCGCATGCTTGCATGCTAAATCTCTTTATTTTAGGTTGTGGGTTTGCAATTTTATACTAATGCTTTTTTATCTCATATTAATGTCTACTTGTACTATCTCCTATAATCTTGCACATGTTGTTGAAGCTAATTGTAATTAATTTCAATAGCATTTTCGCGTTTGTGGCATTTACTTAGCATATCTTTTCTGACCTCTTGATCTCATCGTGGATTCGTTCGTAATCAAATTTTTATGCGCCCATTTAGTGAAGAGTTATGTCTCCGTATCTGTATGCGTTATTGGATTTATTTTATTTCAGCTTGTCGTTTCAAGTGATTAGCTGTTGCTTGATATCCCCGGTGTGGCTGCGCTTGATGTGCATGTTGACAAGGTGCCTACCTGTCTATTACCCACTACCTCCTCCACACTGGCTCCAGGAGACAGTTGGTCGTTTCTGGAAGGGACGGGGTGCACGGTCCTTGTGGCCGTGTTAGGATCAAAGAATGGTTCCGTGCACTCAGTGTGGAGCGGACTACGGTCCAGTCACCGCCTTGTGTGCGACTGATTCCCCAAATACAGCGTGCTTGTGTTTGCCTGTGAAGGAGTGTGGGCCGGCTCCGCTGATGAAACGTGGCTCCCATCCACATGGTTCCCGGTCTTATTCCTTCGGGTTTACACTGGATATGGGGTGTGTAGTTGGAGCTGTGGGTGGTGCAGCGCAAGCCACCCATGGTCTCTCTGTAGGCGCAGGCGTCCTGTGGCTCGCCACAATGACGCAAATCCGAAACCGGATGCCGCCTACCATATATATATATATATATATATACGACTTAGTTTGGGAACTGCTTTGGCCATCCCGGAAGTTACATCCCTGAGGTGAGGCTCATAATCCCAGAAGGAGCAAAGCATGTCATCCAGGGAGTCTCCTCCAATGAATTTTGACTTAAAGAAGACTAGGGGTATTTTTAGAGATGAACATCAGAGTACAGTGAGATAGACACGTCTCCTTAGTGAGTTTGTACTGTTCACCTCCACGGAAATCCAGTCAGATTCATTAGCATTGTTTTATTGTGGGTCTAATATTGAATGTGAATAACTGTTCACAATATAGCTTGCGCACCGCGACCTTTGCGTACATGGCAGGTACGCACGTAGGATGTGTAACTCTTAGCTTGCTAGTACGTATGAGGTGCATGGGCCCAGTACCATGTTTCAGTAACAAGTATTTGATGGGGAAATGAGAGGGCAAGAAGATGACATAGGCTGTGCATTTTATTATTCGGAGAGCTTCGGCGGACTTCAATATTGCCCCAGATGGCTCAATGAGGACATAAGTCAAGACTGATTTAACCATCACACATTGAGGCACACCGTCATAGTTGACCAGCTTGTCCGTGCTGAATCCCGGCACTGTTGGCGAAATACTTCTCAATTCTCTACTTTGGAAGGTACATCCGCACATGAACCTATGACCAGGCATCGTGGGTTGTTGAATTCACTCGCCACTCAGCGCAATGGGAACAGTCTGTTTAGCCTTCACGGGTATATTGTCTTCTGGTAGGCCAAATTGCATGTTACTGATTCCTTTGCGCGGATCGCGTTCGCATCCCCATTCTCATCTACCGTGCTTATTCAGCTTCTGATAGCTTTGTGGTATTTAACTCGGTTTCAACAGATGACATCGGCACACTTTATGCAGCATAGTGACTGCCTTGGGTTTGTTCCGTTTTCAAAATGCGAACTACTCAATGACGTTTCTTCGTTACATCCAGCCTTGTTAATGTTCCCGTTTTCTTTCGAGTCATTGCTATTCTTTGCCCGACGCTTCTTCGTTGTACCATTGTCATTTTTAATGCCAGAGGCTTCTCTCCGTTTGTTCTAGGCTGTCAACAACATGGTAGTTTGTTCCCTATACCTCGGCCAGCTTTCCGGTGCAATCCGCGTTCTCGAGACGTTACTCACTACGGGTCTGAATGGTCAAGTACTCGATACTTCTCACCCGACCCCCAGTGCGGTACTTACATCTGCTTCAGTGAGCCAGCAGGACAAAAATACTACATACCTTCCGGTAACCCTTCAACGCCGATTTTGCTTGCACGATGCCTTAGTGTCCAACTTGGCTGTTCTTTATGAAGTCGAGTCGGAAAGTGCTACTCGGAAAAAGGTCAACTTGCTTGAACGTTTGGCTGCTTTACCAGGCGAACCCGTACACATTTCTGCTTTCAAGTTATCGGCCTCCTAACTTGGACGCCGTGTAATTCCCAATACTAGCAACATGGATTTTTCCGTTCCCGTGTGTTATCACCGAAGGACTCGATTTATACAAAGTTGTCCAAAGTGTATTTATCTCTAACATGTATCTTGTATCACCGAAAATATCATTTCATCATTCTGAAAGCGTTTATACCAAACGTACAATCCTAAACGCCAACAAAATTGTGTTCTCAACTCTTCTGCAGTAATCCGTAGAATGTAGGCAGGTAGCGATCTGAAACGCAAAATTTAGAAATATTTACAGATAGGTATGCTTCATGTTCGCCAAATCATGTAGTTGTGTCGGCGATGAGTGATCATTAAATTCATTCATACTCTATGTAAATACCGACACACTGCTCCCGTTGGAAGGCAAAACACCACGTCTGTCGTGTAAACTAGGCGTCTCCGGTGTGACGCATTTCCTACCCTACGTCAGTTTAACACCGATAGAAATTTAAAGCAGTTAGTTCCCCTCGAAAATTTGGAAAGCACGGTAAGAAGACGAAAACTGGTAGATGCATGCATCTACCAGTTTTCGTCTTCTTACCGATAGAAATGTTTTTTCGGAAATATTTGCACACAATCGATTTGCATTCCTACTAACTACAATTATTCGCATGGAAATCAATTGTCAGAACCAGTGGAATTCCATCTGTGATACCATTGGTATTCAGATTGATCCCAGTACGTTGAGACGCGTATCGAATTGCCCAACTGCACTGAACCTCGGATTCTTTATGCAACGCTAAATTCAGCGACCGAGATAGAGGTCATCCTACTCTCAGCGGTTCGTCTTCGCAACTTATCGAGCGGCTTGCGCATACTACTCGATCTTCCTTGGAAAAAGCACCCAAAGGAACCGCACAACAAAGGTGGTCCACTTAGAAATGGCAGCAAGAAAACCTTATTTATTAATGGTGTCCCCCAGTCTCAGCATTCTCCTGATCACGAAGAGGTAACACATGATCGAGAACAGTGGTGCTACATCTGCGGAGCGCTCTGTTTGCACGATATTGTCGCTAAATGCTTGACGAGAATTCCCTCAAACATAAACTACAGGGGCTACGGTCCAAGGTTAACGAGTGGTGCTACATTCCGAAGAAGTGGTGTAAGTTACATAGAATAGCTGTTTGAGTTTTCGTGCCAGGCTGCGACCGAAATTCGGCTAAAAGCAACAGGTGCACGGCCACGAGTAATCATCAATTCGCTAGAACTTGCAACCTCAGCAAATCCTTTGAAACCTTTGTTTCCACATTCGCGGCGAAGCCTTCAATGTTGGCTGCGTCCTATAATTTCTGGCCAATAGGTCTAAAAGCACACGCTTTCTGGAACTATGACGGAACGCTTTTGTTCTAAACATTTCAGTGATTTGCTCTGCGAATAGCGACATGATTGTTTACACTCACGATGCTTTAACACTTGGTGTTTCCACGCATACCGATTTGCCAGTTTTCCCTGGCCAACCTATACGAGACAAAGTAAGACGTATCAGGAAGACGAGGAGGCATTATACACAAAAGCACTGTGCATTATGGAGAGTTGCACTGGTGAAAAAATATCGGAAGTATGAGCGTACCTATTTTTCTCAGTGCTGGTATCCGATCACTACTTGGAAAGTTAGATCTCAAGACTGTACTGGATTGTCCTGAATAGCCTCAGTTAGGCATCCCTATGTTACAAAGATCTGACTTCATGCCGATATTGAAGATACACTCGTGGAACTTGACGGGTTTAGCTGTTATCGTTTTGACTGTAGTGCCCTAAGAGATAATGCACAATTTTATTACTAATTTATTGTACAAAATTTTCGGACACAGCATACTATATTCAAGGGGCTACCAGAAGACGAGGACGGATGAAACGAAGCGAATGCGGTAACTCAGCGAGCAGACGAGTGCGAGGGGATATACGCATATGGCATGGAGCAGTAAAACACGAACGAATATTGTACAATAGATGAGCACTTAAATTGTACGTAAGAGATGAGTTACATTTTGGATCTCTACATGACCACGGGAGCAGTGGAGGTGGCGTTATCATAGTGCGAGTCGACAAGAGGCACTATTCGCTACAGCTCGCAACGTATCAGCTGTTTGATCGTCATATCTGAATGACTATGACTCAATTTGTTAGCTAGTATCTATCTTACCTTCACTGTCCCAGCCCTGAAGACTTACGACGGATTTACAGCTACTGTTCTTGGTTATGTGGACTTCCCTTTGTGCATATTTGGTGGTGATTATGACAGGTCTTACACCTGATTCATTGCAAATATCGGGCTAAAAAAACACCGTGAAGCGCTTGGGAGCTCTGACCATGCCGTCATAAAATTATTCTCTGACAACGCGAACCACAAAAAATTCACTTGCTGCGGAGATCAAAAGTGCAGTTAGAAGCAATGCTTTCCTCAGAACATTGACAGACGGGGAGCATATTGCGTTCATGAATTTTGGTTTATTTTATGATGCATATGTATCGTAGTATTGTGATCAATTACCTTATATTCTGCTTCAACATCTGCTGTTCAGTTGAGACAGTTTTCATTCGTGCAAGTACTCGTCACAACGCCACAAACGACTGCACAGGCTCAAAAAAGGCGCTTAAACGCAAAGACGTTATCGTAGTGAAGTGTCTATCGGTCGCGATAAAATTCGAATTTCCTCGCCTCAACCATGTGTGTGTTACAGTCATATTAGGAAACAATAATTATCGTGAAATATGGAGAATGCTAAAACAATTAAGTGGACTCACCCGCGAGGCCACGCATTCTATTCTGGCTGTGAAAGTATTTAACTTCAGGTTCTGTGATGTAATCTTTCGAGTTACAGCTGCCTTTAGATAACCCATCTTCTGTGAATAACGTAGAATTATACAGGGAATTAAACGACCTGAATTCGAACAAATCACCCGGTCCAGATAAACTATCTGCTGCCGTCCTCAAGGATTGCGCCGATTACCTGGCACAACCTTTTGCCGAATTGTACACGTTATGCCTAAAGCAACACAGGATAGCCGACAACTGGCAGAGCGCATGCATCACGCTGGTGCCCACGAAAGGTACCTGCAACTAACAGCCATTTGTTTGCACGTCGATTGCTTTGAAGACTTGAGAGGCTTGTTCTCTGAAGGATTTTAGCATAGTCGCGTTTAGCTAACCCTCATCAGTTCGCATATTGTGCCGGCCGGTGGCCGAGTGGTCTACGCACCTGATTTGCAACTATAAAGTCGCCGGTTCTAATCCGCGTAGGGGTGGACGTCCTCGCTGTATACTGAGCCCGCGCGCGACTGGTGGTGGTCGCGTGGCAGCGAAGCGTCCTTACGGCGTACATCTGACACTATTATTACTGTTATTATTATTCGCATATCACAATTCAAGGTCTACCTTAGATGCGATAGCACACATCGTACTTTATGTGCCTTCATCATTAGAAAACAAAAAACATTCACATTCATCTGCTTCTTGGACTATAGCAACACCTTCGGATGCGTTATCCGTTAACTGCTGTCGCGTGATATGTTTCGCTCTCTAGTTCAACCTTCTGCTGAAAAATTATTTTACCAAGCGCATTCACTTTGCCAAGTTTTTGTGGGCAAACTTCCTTACTCATCAGGAATTTTTGTGTTCTTTTCAGAGTAGTTCTGTCCTCATTTCGTTTTTCACTTACACAACTGCAATCTCCATCCTTGAAGACGCCATCTTGGAACAATGGGTAAGAAAGCTCAAGCTTAACAGGTCCCGTAGGATGGTATGGTGAAAATTCAAAATATAGCAATATTGTCAGCAGAATTAGGTTCACGCCGGTGGACTCAGTGTGGTGTACGTATTATAAACTGTGTATCCATAGGTAATGACGAGAAATGGGCTGTTGGTAAAAATCGTGCCACCTGGTGGACACATGCAATGAGTTGAAAAATGTGGAACGTATTCTGGGATTTGACCGGCAGGGAAATCTTTTACAGACACTCGTGTTTAGCCATGGGCAATGAGTCGGGTAATATGGTGCAGCGAACTGAGTGTACGGTTGACTCGGGCTTTGCACTCTACTAGCGTGGGAGCACTGGTGACAGATTCCGGTAGGGCATTCCACGTTTTGCAAACGCGTAGGAAAAAGAAATTCCGACGACATTCCAAACGATTGTACTGCTCTACCAGCTTGAGATGGTCGCCTATCAGCTTACTGTTATAACTGAGCTCTAGCAAATGGCGGCACGTGTGGTTGGGATCTCTCGAAATCGGCTAAGTCAAACCAAGATCCCCACGCAATCACCGGTATTGTCCGCTGAAGACCCCGAGCACTCGGGGCCTTTGTCCATACTGCAAATGATACAAAGTTTTGCTATTCTTAGTTGCCCGGTGTTGGGGTATCTCCGAGGCAGTGAGATCTCCCCTCAGCCATGGCTGCCAGACCTGTATTTCCTATTTCACATGTGGACGTGGTATGAGCCGAGAACCTGTTGAAAAAATCGAAGGGTCGATTTGTACGTATTCACACCTCGGGATGCGCAAGTGTTGGATGCTATTTCTTGATGCCTGTTCAGCCTGATTCCAACATTGGAGATCGACCTGAACCAAAAGGCCCAGATCATTTTTTCCATAAGACGTTTGAAACTCCAGTTCATAGAAACCCGCCAACTTGTGCCCTAAGAGCAGCACTCTGCATTTATCCACATTAAACCGAAGTAGATTCTGGATTTACCACCCGTGAACCCTATCAGATCAGCTTGAAGTAGTGGGACGTCATCTGGTGTATTGCTCGCGCTCTACACTTTGACGTCATCGGCATAAAGCAGGCGGTCCAAGCTTATGAAGTGTGTGATATCGTTGATGTGCATTAAAAACATCCGTGCTCGCAGTACCGATCCCTGTGGTACTCCGCATTCAACCTGCATGGGATCTGAAAGAGATTCACGTACTTTTACCTCCAAGCGCCAGTGTAGGAGAAAGCTCCTTATCCACCCTAGGAGAGGATCACCAGTACCAAAGGTATGTAGCTTGAGGAGCGGAACGCCATGGTCTAACCAGTCGGATACCTTTGAAAAGTCGAGGAAAACTCCTATGCCAGTATTTACTGCTTCGGTCCAGCTGGGTCGTGCTAGTAGTAGTAGATCCGTAGTGCGCCATCGATTTCGTCGGAAGCCATGCTGTTCCGGTGCAAGGTAATTATTCTTCCAAATAGGCC